GAACCCCAAGATAAGGACTCAAATGGTTTTTCTTTCTTGCTATTGTTTCTAACATATTTATAAGATATTTCTTTGTTGCTTTGTATGTCCCTCCCCATGGTATAACCCCTGTTTTCACTATACTTATTGCTGGTATAATATGTGGAGGGAAAAGGAAAAAAACAAATTCTTTAAATAGGGATACAGGTGGACCCATTGCAACAATATGATGTGCAAGATGTTATGTCGAAAAACAAACTTTACAACTTTGGCATGGGGTGGAGGAGGTGGGGAGATGGGAAGGAATGGGAAGGAGAAACAAAGGAGGAGGCAACAACACTTGATAAGAAATGTACTCATTACCTTGCTCATGTAATTGTAACCCCTCTGTATGGTATTTTCACACACAAAAAAAAATTCCCTCACTTTCTGAGGGAACAGGGAATGAAAAGCACATTCCTAGTGCTCACTGAGAAATATACTAAAATGCAAGACACCTGTGTGGATTCAACATTCTCCACAATCTTTAAAGGATATTGAGATTAGTCTTCTCTTCTCCCTCTACAGTAAATTTATTGATGAGACTCTGAGGTACAACCAAGATTATGCCTAAGCAAAGTCAGACTTAGCAGGTAGATTTAGCTCAGCAAGCTTCAGGGCAGACTGAAGCCAGCTGCTTCCTTTCTTTCTGTGAGCTCTATTCCAGAGATGTGATATAGAGAATGTAACCAAGGACATAGGACAAAAGCAGAAAACAATTCTCCTGCCAATTGCCTGACCATGCTGGAAATCACACTTGGAACAAACAAAACTCATGAAGAAGGTTTTGAATTATGTAATATACCATGGAGGACCTATCCAGAAATCAAGTTCACATTGAGTATTGGGTGATAAGTAGCAGAATTACCTTTCATTCTTGATTGCAAATCCTCACACTGGGTTATGATTATTCACGGTTTGGACACTCTTATTCTCCCTCTGTCTATTTATTTTCTCTCTGTCTGTCTCTTTTACACACACATACACACATACACACACATATACACATACACACACAAACACAAAGACATAATCAAGTCAAATTTCATTGTTATTACAAAGATAAGTGAACTTACTGTTTTCAAAGGCACATTAGAAACATTTTGGTAGAATCCCTTCAAACAGGCATATCTTTGAAACCAAATCAACACCATTCTATATTTAAGAGAAAGTGAATATACATTTTAAACAACTGATGAAGAATCAGGTGTACAGTAAAAATCAGTGATAGTATTGCATCTCTGCCTTTCAACCACTGGGTCTCTTCCAAGAAGTGTTGTTTCTAATAGGGAAAATTAATACTATACTTTATAAGTCAATATCAAAATGCCTTCTTTTCCTGGTACATGGAAATTCAACTTTCTTATAGAGGATTATAACATCCTATCACAATAGAAATGATAGCGTTATGCCAAATTCTCCTGCTCTGAGTTTTTAATGGCCTGGAATATAACACTTATATTTAGACTTCTGTCTTAGAAATCATGTCATAAGGACTTTTTATCCTCAGAAGGAAATCTACATTAAAAGTCATGTTGTTAAGTACTTCTCTACTTCCTATTGTTCTGAATATTCAATAAAATCCTGACTACTCTGAACTTTGTTGTCTCTTTGAATTACAAACCATAACATTTTCTCTAGTACTCTATCAAATATATCTATCAACATTTATAGAGTCTTTTAAACACAAAAGGAAAGAAACATTTCACATAAAACAAGATGAATGCCACCATCAAGAGCTCATGCCAGTAAATCTTAAATTCCTCAGGAGTTTGAAATCCAGAAGACTGTTCTTCAAAGTCAGCCCAGGCAGGAAAATCCAAGAGACCACATCTCTAACGAGCCATTCACTTCCTTGCCAGAAGGTAGATTACCAACTGATTGTACATAGCCAGTAAGCATGAGGCCCAGGGTTCACCCATCTACTAGCAACACAATCAATAAATAGGAATCAGGATGAAATTGAAGCACACACAGCTTCCATAACCCTGCATCACAGATGCAGATTTGCTCTGCCCCAAGCATTAGGGCAACAGATTCAATGACATCCTTACCATACACATCAATAGGACAGAGTTTTCAGGCATGTCTTCTGTCTGTCAAAAGATGTAAACAATTATTCTGTTTTGACTGAGTTTCCATGTGAGGATAGGCAAGAAGAAAATAAGAAAGAAGATCCAGAAAGAACTGACCAAGTTTCCACTGACAATCAGAGTGAGGATGGGCAAAAAGAAAACAAGAAAGAAGATCCAGAAAGAACTGACCAATAGAGAAGACTGATATAATTACTGAGTGCTAGTCCTGTGTCTTGAGCTTAGAGTGGGCGATGTTCTTGAATTTTTGTGCTCAAGGCTAGATGTCTATTACTGGAGCCACAGCTCTACTTTTGGCTTTTAGGAGGTTAATTAGAGATGGGCTGTCTTCGAACCATGAACCTCAGATCTCTGCTTCCTGAGAAGCTAGGATTATAGGCATGAGCCACAGCTGCCTGTCCTGAACTGTTCTTACTCAGAGTCTTAACACTAGTTTCATGATAGATAGACTTTTTATATACAACAGAAATATGTGATGCTACTGGCTCAAAATTATATCCCAACATCCTTGTGCATTGGATACCAGTTGGCAAGAGGTTAAGAATGAGATTGTAGGAACCCAAGCAAAGACTCATCTAATGTCCATCTGCTTTCAGGTTCTCAACATTGAGGCTGGGGTGAATGAAAAAAATAATATCAATGTATCATTATCTGCAGTTTGATGATAGTAGTACATCAGTATACATATGAGCATAAATGCATCTCTATTCATCTCCATCAAGAAATTGGTGACTTACTTTTATTCCGAGGATTGAGAGTGACTTGCCTATAACATCCTTCACTGTATCAGAGTCTCTTGATATTACTGTTATTGGCTATAAAAGACATGAGAAAAAAGGTATATATTAAGAATCCAAACAGTATCATTATATAGTTATTGGTAAATTAGTTTCCTTGTCCCTCATGTAAAATTCGTTTTCTGATTATTTAAAGGCAACATCTGTGTAGAACACAAAACCTTGAGAAGAACTGTTTCTTCATTTCTTTGTATAATATGAAGCCAGGAGAAAGCATTTCAGACACATGGAAACAAACTGCACATAGGTCAAAGCTGAATGACAGCTGAAGAAACACCAGAGAATATGGGGAACTAAAGGTAGTGGAAAACCATTAACATACTGAGAGGGGAAAAAAAATATAAGGCCTAAAATTCAGTGAAAATGTCTTTCAAGAGGCAAGGTCAAATAAGGACCTTTTCAGATAACCCATGGTATAGAGCTGCCTTGTGGCCAAAAGTGTGGAAATATGATCTTCACAGGCTGAATATAAATTGATGGACAGATACTCAGCTCTTTAGGAAAAATGGCATGCACCTGTGTCAACGTCTAGTGCGTTGGGGTCCCTGGGTAAGAGTCACAAAGTCACCAGGACACAGGGGATGCAGCATGTAAACAGCAATTGTCACTGCATGCTGTGTTTTATTGTTAGTGGGTATTTAAAGACAAGCAAGCATAATCTTTGCCAAGATTTGGTCAGAAAACATTCACACAAAAAACTTCCACAGATACATTTTTACTTAACCTATGAGACAATGTCTAGGTATATTATTATCTAAATTATTTTAGAGCAAGCTCAAACCACTTCTCCAATCTCAGGAAAATGCTTGACCAGCTGTTCATCTATGCTTAAGCAAGCAGAAGAGCTGCTTCCTCAGCTCTCAGGAGTCTGTGACATGTGTTTTGAGGTAGGGAGAGAGAACATTTTCCCTCTCTAGCCTGGCATTCCAAGAGCTTTCCTAATCCCAAACACAGTCCTTAGATAATCCTGAGGCTGGAGCCTGCATCATTCTGCCCCCTCAACATAGACCCTGAGTCTTCACAATTTCCTTCTTTTGTTTTAAAAGTAAAGCTTTCCACAGGGTTATCATAGAAGCTTGCATTGGTTTCATAAAAATCAAATATAACAGCACAAGCGCAAACAGAATAATAACAATCATAATTCCCAAACCACTAGCAGTATGTGAAATGTTTTGTAGTATTCCTTTCGGATCCAGCCCTTCCAACTGTTTAATAAATGCATCAGCAGTATTAGAAGCATCATCATTTGCAAATTGTTTACCAAAAATATCATGTACATTAAATTGTAACTGAGCAATCAACTGAGCAGCAGTAGAATTTCCTGATAAATACTGTTGTATTACATTCCAATCATGTAGAGATTCATTATATTTTACATTAGTAATGTAAAAGGTAGTCGAATTTTAATCACATTTTAACAATAACTGTTTTTCCACAACCAATAACTTTTTTCCTAACCATCCCACTGTCTAAGAACATTAATCTGTGTTTGTAATCAAGCATCAATTTCTACCTGTGAGACCCACAATTCTTGTGAATCCCGGTGTCATTCTTCCACAAAGTATTTAGTTTGTAAGGAAGTGTGCAGGGCAATTCCAGACACCGCAGCAACAGTGGTAATAGCAATTAAGCTTAAAATCACAGCCGCAATGGCTCCAATCATACGTTTTGTAGCTTTTAGTAGTTTGGTAAAAAAAAATTCAATAACAACACTATCCAAAGGATTTTGGGACCATTCTCTTCCTAATTTAACAGGTAGCCAAATATAAGTTCTTTGTTTTAAAATCATAATATTATGACTGTCATTAAAATTAAGAGAGGAATTAACACAAGAATACAGGCGACAATTAAAACAAGAAATAGTAGGAGAAAATGTAAAGTTTCCCACCAAAAATACATAAGGCAGGGGTACACAAGCAGTTACATTATAAGATTTATACAAAGTAAAATTATAAATGGACACAGAGTTCGCCGTCCTTGAAAACGATCCATTTGATAGCATCACGGGTTTTAGCGCCACTGTGACCTTCCAAAGATGAGTCTGAACAGCAGTGGGTGCAGCCATGAAAGCCCATCGAGCATCTGCAATGCCTCCATCTCCCCAGGCCATCAATTGAGCTCCAGTAAGCGATCCATTAATGGCATCCAGCATCCTAGTAACATTTGATAAATCATATCTGGTAATATTCCATTCTGAACATGTGTTAATAAACTGTCCAAAAGGTCCCCAATCAATGAAATTATTGAACATTTTTCCAAATGTTCCTCTACACTCTTGCTACACAAAAGGCTGATATTTTAAATCAATATAAGTAAAATCAGGGCACATAGGTAAGGATAACTCACCATCAAAGGTGACACTTTCCCAGCTACTATTAATGGACCAAGTAGTTAATCGCTGTAGCTGTGTTTTAGAATTGGAAGTGCGTTTCCCCGGTAAAACCCAATGTTGCCAATTCATAACTAAACACGGAGGAGGCCCCAAACAAACAGGCAAGGAATGAGTATTGTAAGTAAAATTTAAAAAGGCTACCATCATCCTTATTATAAAATGTCAAATTATTCCAAGGAGGAGATAAAATAGCAGGAACAGTATAGATGGTTATATACATGTCTCCCAAAACAACAGGTTCCAATAAAGGAGGGTTAGGAACAAAGGCCCAATAACTTACGTTAGTATTAGCATGGACAGAGTTTACAGCAAGCAGGGCACACATGGCCAGGAACAGGTTCTCAGCAGTGACAGGTTTACCAGTGCGTTGTAACATCTTTTGTCCTTCTCCAGTCAACTTCTTAACCTGCCCCCAGGTGGGCAGTGGGGATTTCTTTTTCCTCAACTGGTGGCCAATTCCTTGAAGGATACGGGGCTGTCCTCACCGGGCAGCGTCTGTATCCATCCTGCAGGAAGCCAGTATTGTTTGCCATCCTGTGTAGACACAAAACCATACCCTCGCCCCTTATGTAATAATGTTCCTGTTGCCATTCTGCATCCAATGCAATTTTAATCCATACAGGAGCATTTAAATAAGGTTTTTCTGAAATTTGTTCAAAATGGCGCTCAGCTCTAGTTAAAATATCTCCTTGTGGTAAGTTTAAAAAATTAAGAACAAAAAGAGCTTGATGTAAAATTATTTTAGGATTTTGCATGGAAAACCACAAAATATTCATACCTTCATCCAACCTTTTCCTCCTTTTTAATTTTTTAATTTGTTGTTTTAATGTGCCATGAACTTGTTTAATAATGGCTTATCCTTGGGGGTTATATTTTATTTTTGTAATATGTACCACATCATAAAGTTTACAAAATCTTTTAAATTTGATCATTTTATAGGCTGGTCTATTATCAGTCTTTATTTTGGCAGGCACTCCCATAATAGCAAAAGCCTCCAATAAGTGTTCTATTACATGGTTAACAGTTTTTCCCATAAGGGCAGAAGCCCAAACAAATTTAGGATAAGTATCTATTGTAACATCTACAAAAGAAAAACGGCCAAAGGCTTGCACATGGGTTATATCCATTTGCCAGAGCTCTTTAGGTTGTAATCCTTGAGGATTTACTCCAGCAGGTACAACTCTCAAATGCATTGGTCTGCAGATAGGGCACCTTTTTATAATTTGTTTAGCTTGAGAATAAGGTATTTTATAATGTATATGTAAGTGGCCAGCATTTGTATGTAAATGAGCATGATCCTGTTCAGCAGAAGCAAAACTAACTAATTTATCAACCTGATTATTGTCATATACAAGGTACCCAGGTAACGAAGAGTGAGCCCTAATGTGAGTTACAAACATTTTGGCATTATGTTGTTGTAGTAATGTTTGTAATTGTTTAAATAATTGGTTTATCTGGGGTTTAGATGAGTAAGTAACAGCAGTGACTATATTAGTCACAACTCCTACAGCATAGGCAGAATCAGTAACAATATTAACATCTCCCACAAAATCTTGTAACATTTTAATAATAGCAAAAAGTTTATTTTGTTGAACTGATGCTAAAGAAGTTGTTTGTACCCAATATTTATTTGTTGTCCAATAAGCACTTTTTGTTTTGGAGCCATCTGTAAAAAACGGTAAGAGCAGTGGGAATAGGGGCCTTGGTAATTATATCATTAAAAACAAATTGTTGTTTACACAAGCAATCCCACAATCTACCTTTGGGAAAATGATAGGAAAATTGTCCAGTAAAATTTACTAATGCTATTTGTAGCATTTTAAACATGTTTAACAAATATTTTACTTGGTCTTTTGGCAAAGGAAAAATAATTTCAAATAAATCATACCCCAATAGAGTAAATACCCGTTGTCTGGCCTGTTGAATAATAATTGTCAACTGTTGTTTATAAGGCATAATACTTTTTGTAAATCTATGCCGAGTATAAATCCATTTTAATAGTAGCTCAATTTGTCCTAAAATTTCTGTTGGGTATTTTCATGTATCTAAAATATATAAATTTATGGGTTGATTTAGCGTTACTCAATGTAAAAACATTTCTTTTATTTTCTGTTCTACAAATTGTAATTCTCTTTTAGCTTTCTTAGTTAAAGTTTTTTTGCTATGTAAATCAGGCTCCTCTTGTAACAAAGAAAACAAATTATGTAGCTGATAAGTAGGAATTTCTAAGGCCAGTTGCATCCAATTCTGTCGGGACGACGGAGGATACCTAGGGGAGGAACCTGGAATAGGATGGGGAGATGGCAAACAGACAACTCACACACATTAGGAGTGGATGCTGAGTGCTGAGCGCTGAGTGCGATTTAATGCAGAGGATAACAAACTTTTATAGCAAAAAGTCTCCATAAGAAAGGGCAAAAGGTTACATAATCTTGCTGCAGGGCTTCATTCTTGGGCGGTCACCAGCTGGTCGCCTGAAAGGCACTTGCTTCTGGCTTATCTCTAAGAAATATAATGGGTTTTGATGTTTGTCACCAACTAACCATTACCTTATTTCTATAGAGGCCTTAACTGTCCCATAAGATCTTTTCTGTTCCTTCTTTAATAGTAAACACCAAGGAGACTTAGATCTAGCAAGTCTTAGTAAATGAAAGAGAGTAATAGGAAGTTCTTTCTCCTAAGTAGTTATCTCAGCAATTGCCATTCTTTGTTTAGTGGCCGCCTACAGCTTTTTGTAAATCTCTTACAAACAATTCCTTCTGCTGAAGTGACTTTGTGAAACCCCCAATACTTTTATATTTGCTTATGGCTTGTCTACTAGCCTCCATAAGAGGGGTTTCAGGGTAGCACTTAACTCCGGTGAGTTAGTCATATTTTTAAGACACTCATCAGATATTGGAGTCATCAACACTCTTAAGAAAGAGCTTTGTATAGGGAAACGTTGACAATGAGCAAGTACAAAGAGCAGTAGAAACAGTAAAGATTAATAGGCACTCTTATGAGGAAAAGATAGGCAGAAACACATCTTTGCCAGCCTTTTTCCAGGAGTAGGCCTCTTAGAAGCCCTATTCTCCGAGGTAGACTTCGGTGAAGTCCCAAAACTCAGAGATAGGTCTCTGAAGCCCCTATCATGGTCTGATAGATGGTTTCCCATGCTAAGCAGACTCCATTGGAGTCGGCGTGGCACCAATTAATATCTCCTAATAGCTTTTGAAAATCATTTAACGAATGTAATTGATGACGTCGTAAAGACATTTTTTGAGGTGCTACTGTTTGTCTAGAAACAACATATCCTAAATATTTTACCACCATATCTTTTTGTATTTTTTAGGTGCTATTATTAATCCAAAATTTTTATATAGAGGGTAAGCACTGTAACACCATTTTTAATTCTGTCATAGTTGGTCCTGCAAATAAAATACCATCCATATAATGAGAAATATAAATGTGAGGCCATTTTTGTCTAACAGGTTTTAAGGCCTTATCAACATATATCTGACACATAGTTGGAGAGTTCATCATTCTTTGGGGCAACACCTTCCATTGGAAGCGCTGATGAGGGGCTTGATGATTTATTTGTGGTAAAGAAAAGGCAAATCTTTTACAATCTTTTACATGTACAGGAATGGTAAAAAAGCAATCTTGTAAATCTATTACTATTATTGGCCAATTTTTTGGAAGCATGACAGGCGACGGTATACCAGATTGTGAAGCCCCCATAGGGTACATGGATGCATTAACTCCTCGTAAACCAGTCAGCAATCTCCATTTCCCTGACTTCTTTTTAATAACAAATATTGGAGAATTCCAAGGTGATGTAGGTGGCTCAATATGTCCTTTGGTTAACTGTTCTTCAACTAATTGATGAGCTGCTTCTAATTTTTCTTTAGATAAAGGCCATTGTTTAGTCCAAAGAGGTTCCTCAGATTTCTATAATATCTTTATGGGCTCCATCTAAAAATGTTAAAACTGAATATGAGCTCCCCATTGTTCCAGTACATCTTTACCAATTATGTTAACTGGAACTTCCATAATATAAGGTTTAAGGACAGCTGTCTGTCCGTCTTCTGAGGTTATAGTAACATAAGACACTGCTTGTCCTATAGAATTTACAGGAGTATTACTAACTCCTTTAATATTACAGGGGATTATTTCATATAATAAATGATTAGGCCATTCATGAGTGTTAATAATTGTAATATCTGAGCCAGTATCTATTAATCCTGTCAATATTTTTCCCTGAATATTAATTTTAATCTTAGGCTGCATTTTAGTAATATGAGTAGTCCAAAACACATTTTGTTGGTTAATACTTCCAAATCCCCCAATGCAGGGTGTAAATGACTTTCCAATAGATATATATGGTAATAATAAAATTTGAGCAATTCGTTCTCCCTTCTTAAAGGAAATGTCTGCAGCAGCTGACATTAAAATTTTTATTTCCCAAATATAGTCAGCATCAATAATTCCTAAATGTACTAAAACACCTTTTGCATTAAGACTAGATCTACCAGTCAATAGGCCAAATGTTCCTTCAGGTAAAGGCCCATAAATTCCGGTAGGAATTTTTTGTGGCTTATCACCACCTTTTAAGGCTGGTATGTCCACTGAAGTGCTGTGGGCTGTGGAAAGGATGAGAGAAAAGATGGTTGGCTGCCCTGGGTTACTGGGGCTAGCCCGATGGAGAGTTTCCCTGCATAGGGTAAGCATCTTTTATAGGAATTTTTTTATTGTCTATTTTTGATCTACACTCCCTTGCCCAGTGCTTCCCCTTTTTACATTTAGGGCGAATTCCCGGTCCTCTTTTGTTAACTACAGTAGCTTTTTTTACAATTTTTCTTTATATGTCCCATTTGACCACATCCAAAACACGTTAGATTAGAGGGTTTTGTTTGCAAAGCATGCCAGGTAGTGGCCATAGTTTCAGCAAACACCTGCATAGGCCTGGATTCAGATGTAATGTCTTTGCAGGCCCTTAAATATATATTCACATCCCCAGATTCTTTAATGGGCAATAGGGCCCGTCTACAGTCCTCATTAGCATTCTCATAAGCCAACATGCGCAGCAGTTGTTGCCTTGCAGCCTTTCCCACAACAGTACGTTCCAAGGTCAATTTCAATCGCGATAAAAATTCAACATAGGGTTCATTAGGTTTTTGAATTACTTTAGTCCAAGAGCCATAATGCTCTCCTACCGGTCGAATCCTTTCCCATGCCTCAATACCTATGTCTCTTAACTGCTCATGGATGTCTTCAGGAGAGTTCACTTGCATAGGAGCATCCGCATATTGTTCTGTTCCACTCAACATGGGAAAGGTTATGACATGTAGGCGTGGATTACCGCTCTGTGCATTTTGTCTAGCCCTTTCTGTACATAACTCAGTAAACCACATTTGCCATTGTAGGTATTTAGGTTTCTTAAGCAAGGCTCTACAAAGCATCTTCCAATCCTCAGGAGCAAAATTATTGTAATGTTGAGCAAGCCCATTAAGCAATTCCTTAACATAATGAGACTGAGGACCATACAATGTCACTGCCTTCTTAAGTTTACCAATATCATCAACAGCAACACCTTCATATCTGGCTGGTTGAGCTATACCATTCATAGGGGGTGGTCGAATTACAGGATAAGAAAAAATAGGCATTTCATCATCAAACTCACTGTCTGAGCCCTCTGTTTTGTGAGGGAGTGACGCTGTAAAGATTGCATCTGCCAGCGGAGAAGCAGCAGGCTTCTTTACTTTCACTTTCTCAGGTTCTCCTTTCCCTCTGCTAATTTCCAACTCCATATGTTGTAATTTTGATAAAATCAATTCCATTTGCTCATTTTATTTATGCTTTCAGTTTGTTCCTTTTTAGCCTTTTTTACCTCTTGTTTTTTTCTCTGTTAATTGCAATGCATCCTTATCTATTGCATCCTTAACCTTAGAGTCCAATTGTAAATCTACAATAGAAGGAGTGGCCTCTTTCTTTAAGTCGCTATTAATCTTTTCTTATTCAAGGCTTTAAAAAGGGTATGTAAAATAGCCCAAATGGACCAAAATCTAATAGGAGTCTTTTCCCCTTCTCGAACAGCTCTTTCTACATTATTCTTTACTGGTTTCCAATTATCAACATCTAATGTTCCTTCATCGGGGAACCAAGGATTCCATTTCCTAACTACATTAACACACATTTCTATGTCAGAAGAGGAAATATTTACACCATAAGCAGCAGGTAAATATTTAAGCATATGTAAGTACGGAGTAGACCTAACTTGTCCCATCACCCTGTAATTAAAAGTACTTACCTGAATATCCCTTCCTGAATTCAACAATGCAAGGTCCCTGTTCGAGCGCCAATTGTCAATGTCTAGTGTGTTGGGGTCCCTGGGTAAGGGTCACAAAATCACCAGGACACAGGGGATGCAGCATGCAAACAGCAATTGTCACTGCATGCTGTGCTTTATTGTTAGTGGGTATTTAAAGACAAGCAAGCATAATCTTTGCCAAGATTTGGTCAGAAAACATTCACACAAAAAACTTCCACAGATACATGTTTACTTAACCTATGAGACAATGTCTAGGTATATTATTATATAAACTATTTTAGAGCAAGCTCAAACCACTTTGCCAATCTCAGGAAAATGTTTGACCAGCTGTTCATCTATGCTTAAGCAAGCAAAAGAGCTACTTCCTCAGCTCTCAGGAGTCTGTGACATGTGTTTTGAGATAGGGAGAGAGAACATTTTCCCTCTCTAGCCTGGCATTCCAAGAGCTTTCCTAATCCCAAACACAGTCCTCAGATAATCCTGAGGCTGGAGCCTACATCATTCTGCCCCCTCAACATAGACCCTGAGTCTTCACACACCTGCAATCTTTACTTCAGGAAACTTAGACCTCAGTAAAGCGCACTTTTATCATGTAGAGCTGACCTAACAGATTGTTCTCTAAGCACTGACGCTATTGGGAGTGCATCAGGTAGAGACAAGTCTGTGCTTTCCCCATGAGAACCATGCAGCCTCCTCACCCTCCAGCCATGAATATGGAACTTGAAAAAGGATCAATCATTTTCAAGATATTTACTATCAGCCAGTTAGTAATGTTGTGTCCTTCTCCTTTCCCCTTTCAATACTATTTTGTGTAACACAGAGGATGGCAAGACCTAAGTACCATTATATGTTCTATTTTGTTTGACTGATAGTTTTAGAAACATTCAAAGGCATGTGGTACATACCTTGTGATTCATCCATCTCAGGTGAATTTGGTCCTGATGTTAAGAAGAGTGGGACATGAGAATTTAGCATAATTTCTTAAAGGAATATTTGAATGTAGAGGTTTCTGTTCTGGTTAAGGAACACTATGGGGGACAATTGAGAGTAGATGTAAAATATTAACTGGGTGTGGCCTGACTAGCATGCATGAGTCCCTGAGTTAAAGTTCTACCATCAGGCACACACACACACACACACACACACACACACACACACACACATAATACATATATAGAGAATGTTTATGTATACACATATGGCATAAATAGACTATATGTGTGTCTATATACATTTGTACATTTTATATGTGTTCATATATAGGTAAGTGTATATATAAATATGCATTATATTTTATGTTTATATTAATATCTACCTGCAATTCTATATATAAACATATGTGTGGTATTAATGTAATATATGTATATGAATACATGTGTACTTATATAATGAACATGTACCTATGTACATAAACACACAATAGTTAAATTTAGTAAAGAAGTGTCAGTATAGTTGTAAAGAATATCATTATTCTTAAGAAGTATTTATGTATGCTGAAACTGTCTTAGAACAAGTTAGAAAACAATTCATAAAAAATTAAGGGGCTGGGACAGTGGCTCAGTGGTAGAGTGCTTGCCTTGTATGCATGAGACCCAGGGCTCGATTCCTCAGCATCACTATGCAGAAAAAGGCAGAAGTGGTGCTGTGGCTCAAATGGTAGAGCACTAGCCTTGAGCTGAAAAGCTGAGGGCCAGTGCCCAGGCCCAGAGTTCAGGCCCACGACCAACAATAACAACAACAACAAAAATAGGTTAAATCTTTCTAAATAAGAAAATCAGGGCAACAGAATCTGATTTTCTGTATATTTGGTACTGTTCTTTTGTGATTTTCACAAAAATGTATGAAATTAATGGTAAAATTAATGATAAAAAATTGATGTTAAAAGAATAACATAAAAAGTAGTTTAATTCCAGGAAGAATACCTCCCTGACTGATAAAAATGATCTTCTTTACAATAAAAGTGTGATAAGTTGTGTATATTGAATATGAAAATGTTTATATATGTTAGCTAAAATAAATGAATAACGTTTCATAATGACTAGTACACATATATTTTATATGTCAATAAAAACATGTAGACATAATTTTTTTTTCTGTTGGTCATGGGGCTTGAACTCTGGGCCTGGGAGCTGTCCCTGAGCTATTCAGCTCCAGGCTAGCACTCTACCATTGAGCCACAGCACCACTTCTGGCTTTTTCTGTTTATGTGGTGCTGAGGAATTGAACCCAAGGCCTAATGTATGCAAGGCATGCACTCTACCATTGAGCCACCTTCCCAGCCCTGATAATATTTTTTTAAATGGTATTCCTTTTGTGTTTTTTGTTTTGTTGTTATGATTGTTATGGGACTTGAATTCATGTCCTGGAACCTGTCCCTGAGATCTTTTTGCTCATGGCTAGTCCTCTAGCACTTTGAGCCCACAGCTCTATTTCTGGGGTTTGAGTGGTTAGTTGGAGATAAAGAGTCTCATGGGGGGCTGGGAAGGTGGCTCAGTGGTAGAGCGCTTGCCTTGCATGTGTGAGGCTCTGGGTTCGATTCCTCAGTACCACATAAGCAAAAAGAAAAAAGAGTCTCATGGGAACTTTTCTGCCAACTGCAATCCTCAGATCTCAGCCTCCTGACTTGCTACAATGACAGGAGGTGTGTGCTACCAGAGTCCAGCTGGTGTTCCTTCCTTAGGTTAAAAGCATAATTAAATAATGTACTTTGGTTTGTAACTCATGTGGCTGGAACCCAGGGTCAGGCCTGAACATTGTCATTCAAGTCTAACATCTGCCACTTGAGCCACAGCTTTTTTTGCTAGTCATTTGAAGGTAAGTGTTTCAAGGTCTTTCCTTCCCATGCTGGCTTTGAACTACCATCTTCAGATCTCAAACCTTTGAGTAGCCATGATTACAGACAGGAGACCACTGCAGGCAACAGATATACTATTTTCATAAAAGTTTTATCTCAATTTACACTACAGTGATTAAAAAAATATAATACCCCTAAAAAAGATTCTGACATGAATGTTGGAAATGGATATTAAAAAAAAAAGGCAGCTATGATACAGTGAGCAGAAAACCAAATTTTCCAAACAAGATGACGTTTTTAACACACCATATAACACTATCTGTTCTTAATGCCACTAAGACACATTAATATCATATTTATATTCATAAATATAACAAGAGAATCAAGCTCATCCCTCAATTTCTTGCTTTCCTAATTTTCCTCCTCTTATTGTTCTTAAAAGTTTCCTTCCCATTGATAATTTATAAAATCTCTCCCCCCTTTCAGCCTAAGCAATGAACTAAAATGTCCTCTTTATTCCAAACACTTACAAAGTGATTGTTCTTGACCTCACTGGTGAATATCTGCAGAGGAATGCTGTCCTCATCTTCTTCTTTTTCGAGGTTGATATATCTGACTCATTCACCCCAAAGTAGTATAATTATTAGCTAGTAACTTATTTTTCAAATCAATCTTTATCATTAATATTTTTCAATATGTATTTTGTAGTTCATAAACACTTATGGATGGATTATGTATTGAATCAATGGAGTAACATTGGAGGAAAATAGGATAGAATTTGGAAGAGATCAGAGAGTCTTGGAAAGGGACATGGAAATGCATCAGATGCAATGTTTCAAATGTTACCATCTAAATGGGAGGGCCAATACCTACCTAGACAACTGAAAGCAACAGTAGCTTTGAGCTAGCTCAATGGAGCATGGGTATATATATATAGATGGTGCAAACCTGGGGCTTCCACCCAGAGTCTGTGCACTGTTTCTAAACTGTTGTGCTCCAGGTTATGGTTTTCCCACTGGAGCCACAGCTCCACTTCTGGCTTTTGGGGAAGTTAATTGGAGATAAGAGTCTCTCAGACTATCCTGCTCAGACTGGCTTCAACCTGCAGTCCTTATATCCAGCCTCCTGAGTAGAATGGATTTTAGGAATGAGCCACTTGTGCCTGATAACCTGTATATATTTTAAGAAAATGTTAGTTCAAGTTTATCATGAGAGTGAAGGAAAATTTAGAGAGTATTTTCAAGATGTCTTTAAAAATAAGGAATGTAGGGCTGGGAAGGTGGCTCAGTGGTAGAGCGCTTGCCTTGTATGCCTGAGGCCCTGGGTTCCATTCCACAGCACCATATAAACAAAAAGAAAAAAGCCGGAAGTGGCGCTGTGGCTCAAGTGGTAGAGTGCTAGCCTTGAGCTGAAGAGCTGAGGGACAGCGCCCAGGCCCAGAGTTCAGGCTCCACGACTGGACCAAAAAAAAATAAAAAAAGGAATGTATGTGATTTAGAATTGCAAAGATAAATAATTTCCATTGAAAATGGGGGAGAATGTGTTAAGGACATGTGTTTTCAAATCTCCATTCACTAACAAACTAAAAGTTAAATATAAGCACTTGCTTAATATCTTTGCAGAAAACAGCTCCATTTTTCCTTTTGTTCGCAAGAACTGCAAATTAAAATGATAGCCAATATTAAACTACATCTCATATACAAGATCTTTACAAGTCATTAAAGGCAAAAGTACTATCAATTCATTGGTATCCAAGCACACACAGAATTGACCCTACACCTAATTGAGGTTTGGTGGCCTTGGGCTTATAAGGGTGATCTTACTGTGATGTGAGGCAGACTGTTGTAGAAGAAAAATGGATTTCAATGAAATCACTGCCACTGAGTGATGCAAGCCACCTGACCATAGGCCAGTCTCACACCTGGGCTACCTTCCATTTCCCCTTCGATAAAACTGACAGAGCTGGACGTGCTTTTCAAATATTTAAAATATACAGTCATTCCGATCAAGGCATAGAAGAAACATGGCATTTAGATGGAATTTTCTTGATCCAGAAATATACAGTATGCATTTACAAGGAAAAAACAGGAAAAATTGAAAAGATTGGATTGTTTCACTTCCTAAGAGAATTTCCTGAACTCTACAACTATGTTGTATTAGAATCTAGAAAACTTTCTTTACATTAGTAGGAACAATGCTCAAGGTTACTGAAAGTCATTAGTAGTGATTGCTGACATAGCTAAGTGATTAATGAAGAAAAACTCCTTTGCTATTTCCCTGCAGCTTTCAGGGTGCAGTGGTCAGTCTTACCTGAAGGTGGCCTTGAAGTTCTCCAGGGGCCAGCCCAAAAGAAGGGACTTTCTGGAGTGATGACCACCCTTCTCCAGGTTGTCTCCACACTCAGCCATCCACAGGGCATGCAGTGGGACCACAGTTGGAATCTTAAAGCATTTCTTATACCTATAAA